CACTGGCTGCTGCTGCTGCTGCTGCTGCTGCTGCTGCTGCCGTCTGCTGCAGCAGCAGCAGCAGCTTCTGCGCCTGCTGCAGCAGTAGCTGCTGCGGCTGCTGTAGCTGCTGCTGCTACGTCTCCTGCAGCAGCTGCCGCTGCGTCTGCTGCAGCAGCAGCAGCAGCAGCAGCAGCAATAGTCGGTGCTGCTCTCCAGGGCCGGGGCCCCTGGGGGCCCCCTGCCCTGTACCCCTCTGCTGCGTTTAGGCAGCAGATTACTTGTGGCTCTGCATTGGGGAGGGGAGGCCCCCCTTTTGCTGCTGCTGCTGCTGCTGCTGCTGCTGCTTCTGCTGCTGCTGCTGCTGCTGCAAGCCCAGGGGTGTCTGCGTCGGGTTGAATCTGGAATGTACGTCCGCGGGTTCCTAGCCATGCAGCCGACGCATGCAGATGCTGCCAGCAGCAGCAGCAGCAGCAGCAGCAGCAGCAGCAGGCGAAGCAGCAGCAGCAGCAGCAGCAGATGTGAGTTCGCGGCTTTCTCTTCGAATTCTGCAGAGAAGGCGAAGCATGCTGCAGCAGCAATCCGCAAATATTAAAATTAATTAAAAATAAATAATTTAATTCAATTTATTGAAATGTTTAAAACAGAAAACCACACAGAGGCCCGCAGCCGACGGGGGGCCCCCCAGGCCGGGGGGCCCCCGGGGGCCCCCCGGGGCCCCCGGGCTTCTAGTACCCTCCTTCTTGTTCGTTTTTGCTGTTTAAAATTAGTTTAATAAATAAATAAATATTAATTAATTCATTTTGGTATTATTTACATGTCTAGCAGCAGCGTCTGCTGCTTCTGTGGGTCTCAAATGGGGGCCAGGAGCTTGAGGGGCGCCGAGCAGCAGCAGCAGCAGCAACAGCAGCAGCAGCAGCAGCAGCAGCAGCAGTGTATCTACACCGCACACACTAAGGAAGGCTTGTTCTAGCATCAGGCGTAGGGCCCCCATGGCTACAGCGCCACAGCCCCAGCCGTCGCTGCTGCTGCTGCTGCTGCTGCTGCTGCTGCTGCTGCAGGGTGAGGTGTCTGGATCTGCCTTTAGACCTCGGGCTTTTCTTACTGGGCCACACAGGCAGCAGCAGCAGCAGCAGCAGCAGCAGCAGCAGCCGCGGTGCACGTACGCCGCAGGGTCGCCTTACTCCACGCTGAGCAGCAGCAGCAACAGCAGCAGCAGCAGCAGCAGCAGTAGCTGCTGCTGCAGCAGCAGCGGCTGCAGCAGCAGCCAAAGGGGACTGCCACTCAACAGCATATTTTTGGGCGGCTGCCCGTACACCGCATTAGCCCATAGAACCCAGCAGCAGCAGCTGCAGCAGCAGCAGCAGCAGCAACAGCAGCAGCAGCAGCAGCAACAGCAGCAGCAGCAGCAGCAGCAGCAGCAGCAGCCATTTTTGAGTAATTTAGAAATGGTGTCAGTACGGCGCTACCGCGGTGAGTCTGTCTTTCCACATCTCAGCAGCAAATCAAAAGGAGACAAATAAATAATAAATAAAAATAATAAATAAAATAAATAAATAATAATAAATAAATAACAATAAATAATAAATAATAAATAAATAATAAACAATAAATAAAATGCCAAAACTTAAATTAAATGTCTCCACCCTCTCTTTATCTTTTGCTCATTTGTCTCTTTTTGTCTCGGCCCATGATCGATTCTGCTGCTGCTGCTGCTGCTGCTGCTGCTACATTTGCTGCTGCTGGATTTGCTGCTGCTGCATTTGCTGCTGCTGCATTTGGTGCTGCTGCATTTGGTGCTGCTGGATTTGCTGCTGCTGGATTTGTTGCTGCTGGATTTGCTGCTGAGTTGGTTGCTGCTGCATTTGCTGCTGCTGCTTCCCATGCTGCTGCTGCTGCTGCTGCTGCTGCTGCTGCTGCAGTGCGGCGGTACCCGTGGCCGCTGGCGTCTGCTGCTGCTGCTGCTGCAGTGGTGCGGCGGAACCAAAAGAAGCAGCAGCTGCAGCAAGACTACAGACTTTTGCGGCAGCAATACCAGCAGCAAATAGCAGCAAGCAAAAGCCTGGACGAGCTGCTGCACTGGCAGCTGCTGCTGCAGCAGCTGCCCAGAGACAGCAGCAGCAGCAGACACCGCCGCCGCTGCAGCAGCAGCGGCAGGGCCCGCGGGGTGTACAGACACTTCCAGCTGTCCAGACACCTCGTCAAAAAACTCCTCGACAATATGCTGCTTCCGGGCTGGACCAAAGCGGAGTGGTAATTCTTTATTTATTTATTTATTTATTATTTATTATTTATTTATTTATTTATTTATTTATTTATTTATTTATTTATTATTTATTTATTATTTATTTATTCATTTATTCATTATTATTATTTATTTATTTATTTTTTTATTTTAGTTAGTTTGTTAGTTTATTTATTTATTTATTTATTTATTTATTTATTTTAGTTAGTTAGTTAGTTTATTTATTTATTTATTTATTTATTTATTTATTTATTTATTTATTTATTTATTTATTTA